AGCGTGCATTACTCACACTGTGAGTCATGTTTTTTTTTTTGTTGTAACATTTAGATGAAAAGTGTTCATAACTAATTATTTTTTATGCCCTTAGTGTTGACATACAGCCAGGTGTTGGCACAAAGTCACAGAGTCTGTGTTTTTACTGGTGTCGTTTTATTGGTGTTTTAACTTGGAAGCCAAAAAAGACAAAAAGAAAAGAGGGTGGTATTGTATTTCATTAAAGTGTTATCATTCAAGGGCTTAATGTTTTTCTCCTGATGTTTCTTTGTTCCTCTCAATAAAGAGCCAAAGTCCCACCCTGTTAATTTAATGCTGCATTGACGTAAGATCAGCAGAACTGGAAGAACTGTAAAACATTAAAGCATTATTCCAAGATGGTTACACCCATAATTTAAATTGAATTATTAAAAAATAAAAATAGGCTACATTTTCATATTTTGGAGAATTTACATATTTAGCAAAAACAGAACAATCACTGTGTTGATATCTGATTTTAATTAGATGTACAGTCGAGGCTTTCTCAGCCATTTTGCCACAGATTTGAAAATATTGTAGCTGTCAGACATTCCCCCAAACCTGTGACAATTTTTCCCACAGACTGCTTATAATTAAGGTCTGTTACAATTTGACATGAACTAAGCATTCACTGGCACACTGTCAAAGATTAATGGGAGCTGCATTTTTTAACACTACAGAAATATTAATTATATGTTTGATAAAAGGTACTCCATTTATTTCATCAGAAACAGTAAGAATAATGAGAATTTGTCTCTCTTTAAAATATATGAGTGTTAATATTAATGGTATTAATGGATAATATGTGTGGTCGTATTGATAAACTTGTGCTCCACAGGGTACTATACGGGAACAAGATCACAGAGATTTCCAAAGGACTGTTTGAGGGATTGTTTTCGCTGCAGCTATTGTGAGTAGACACACACACACACACACACACACACACAGTTGTAGTTGCAGCTAAGAACTCACATCCACATCTCATTGATATTCTGCTGAAAAGTGCTTATCTAAAATATTGTCATCAGAGTGGAGACATCATGATTGAAAGCGATCATCACTGACCTGTAACATTTGAAACACTCATTGAAGAATGATAACAGAATAATCCTTCAGCCCCCATCTCTCTTTCTCTCTCTCTCTCTCTCTCTCTCTCTCCTTCATTCTGTCGTTTCTTTATTCCAGGTTACTGAATGCTAATAAGATAGCGTGTCTCCGTGTGGATGCATTTCAGGACCTCCATAACCTCAATCTGCTTTCACTATATGACAACAAGCTCCAGACCATCGCCAAGGGGACCTTCTCGTCACTAAGGGCCATACAAACACTGTACGTAACCACACACACACACACACACACACAAAACTTTAAGTTTGTAATCATCATAACTGAACAACTGTGGTTAAACAAAAATCTATATCTTCAGAAAAGCACTGCAGAAAAAACTTAAATATTGATAGAAAAACATCTATTATTGCTAAAATTACCGCTGGTCAGCCAAAATTCAGAAATCAACTAGGATAGCTAGTTTTGTTTAGAGTGAAGGGTGTGTGTGAGGTCGGGACCTCTGGAGAGCCTAGTGCTAAAGCTAGCTGCAGGATAAAACTGTAAGGCTACCTGCTTGTGAAACTACAATGTCTTAATTTCTTTTTTTTTTTACACTTGCTAAATACACAAGATGTGATGTGTGGGTGTGGAGGATTTGGAGTTGTTCAAACAAAAGTAAAATAACAAGTAGCCCAATTATAGTTTTCAAGTAACTTGCCCACACTGTTAATTATAATGACACTTTGCACATGATAATATGGCAAGCTGTGCTTCAACTGTTATCCACACTTTTAATGAACAGTGGATAATTTGTTTTGTTTATAGTGTTTATGGTTAGTTTCACCTGTGAGTTGCCTGGTAACAGAATGTAAAGCATCGTCGCTATGGTTACTTGCAGCTTAATATACCCTGGGTGTAGATTAATAACATTTGAGGTGTTGTTTTTGTTATTTTTTACTTAATGGAAGTGTACATAGACATATGCATGAGTAAAAAGGATTTTAAAAATAAAGTTTATATATAAATGAGTATTACACTTACAAGTACAAGTAAAAAACATTTATTAAAGGTTTTAATTGTTCTTTTAGATTTTTGATTCTTGTATCATTAGTGTTAAATGTGTAAAAACTAAAAAGCAGTTTGCTTGCTGATCATTTACTTTTATAAACATCATTCCAGTAAGTTAAAAAGATTGACAATAAAGTATATTTGATTGTTTGCAATGTCATTAAAGTAGAAGAGAACTGTAAATCCTAACAACACATCTTAATAAAGGAAGTAGACTAACATTTAATTAACATTTAACACTTAATCATCCAGAAAATGATCGAGTCACTCATTCCCATTAATTAAATCCAACTCAAAAATGAATTGTTGAAGTGGGAACTTGAGTGCACTTATATTTGTAAGTAGGTTTTAAGTATTGGTGATTTTATTCCAGTTTGTTTCTTTGACTCATTTTCTTAAGGTTGACTTTATATCATCACAAACATGTAAGCCCCAAAGCCCAAAAAAAATAATTGGCTACCATTTAGAAAACTGATTAATTGTAAATTGTTTTTTTGTATTATATGTCAGCTGTTGACACATAATGTAATAATTTGCTTTAGTGGAAGAAAACAAAAGCTTCAAAACATTTGTATAAAAAAGATGAATTTAAGTCTGTCTTACTTTATTCAGATAACGCATTTTAAATGAGTTTGGAGAAATGCTACATATGATTGTAATATACTTACTAGTTTTAAGTTCAATTAACTGAATAAAATTGGTACAATTAACTTAATTTACACAATAACAATAATAACAATAAATACTTGAGTTACTTGCTTTTCAATTCAATATTTAATGCTTAATTATTGGAGGCTCAAGCTACTAAAATTTAAAAAATGGTTTAATCGGTTTCCTCAAATAATTTAAGTTAAACTAACTTGTCCAGTTTTATAGTCTAGGAACATTTTTAAATGGGTCTAAACTTATTTGACATAACAACAGTTCCAAAGGTGAGGTGATTTTATTACACACCTGCCATCCCTCCAATCACAAACAAGTATTTTCTGTGTCTATGGCTATATCAACACTCAAGAAACATGTTCGCAACTATATATTGCTCTGACAGCTTTGTTTTTGTGTTTCTGTGTGCTCCATATGTCCGTGTGTGTGTGTGTGTATCAGTCACCTAGCCCAAAACCCGTTTTTATTGTGCTGCCATCTGAAGTGGCTGGCAGACTACCTGCAGGACAATCCCATCGAGACAAGTGGTGCCCGCTGCACCAGCCCTCGACGGCTCGCCAACAAACGAATTGGACAAATCAAGAGCAAGAAATTCCGCTGCTCAGGTATAAACACAGAAACAGACTCATCTACGCTTTCTGTTTCTGACATGTGTACATTCTCTTACACGTAATACCCAAACTGACTGTTTGCTGCCCTGTGTTCTCATTCTGTGTCTTCCTGCTGGGATTTTCCCTCAGCCTCTCTTTACTAACCTCAACTCCTTGTTTTCAGCATTTTCTGGCAGCTCTCTCTCTCTCTCATTCGACCACACACACACACACACACACACACAGCCAGTGAGTACTTTCTTCTAGTCTAGCCTTTTGTTCTTTTGTTGTTTTTCACTTCTACTCTCTCTGTCTCTGTCTCTCCATTAGCTAGAGAACAGTATTTCATCCCAGGTATTGTACATTGAGCATGTGTGAGCGTGTGTGTGTGTTTAAGACACTGTTTGGTCAATCACAGTGAATGCTGGACACTCACACTCTCTTGACACTTGGTGTGACTTGCCTTGACTTACACCTTTTGAATCCCAAGACCTTTTATTTTAATGGTCTAACGTCACATCTAACCAGGCACCAGATAATCACACTCCTGTCCTTGCACTGGGTTTTTGATGGTAACCGTAACCTTGACGATAGCAGGAGAAACACAATTGGATTAACAAGCTCCGGCCGCTGTCAGCTGGGCACTGCATGTGAGATTCTGTATAAATAAAGGTATATTGGTACAGCGATCACAGAGACTATATTTAATACTAGTCCTCCTTGCTTCTTAGCACATCTAATGAAAACTAATGTATGAGCGTGTGTTCGCGCGCATCTGTGTCTGTTTCGCCCACTGCAGAACATCAAAAGGTCACACAGTTACCATGCTCAGAGGGGCGCTGGGAAATATGTAAATCAGACATGCATATGAGATCAGTAGCAGGGCTAAAGGCGGTCATTACCACAGCAGCACACAGAGGAGGCATGGTGTGTGTTGGATGAGAGCGTGTGTGTGTGAATGTGAACATGTGTGCTCACTGCAGTCATTAACTCACCGGGGGGACAGAGGTTTCAAAGCCCAGATACCACATACAGGGCAAAGCTGAATAATTTAAGAACATTTGCGGTTGAAAAGTTGAATAAACATGTTTTATTCTGTGGTACAACAGAGTATCGCGCCTTAGATCAATACATCTAAAATCCTCTACCTTAATTTGCATCATGTCCCCTCACGGTGTATTATTTTGGAAACTATTTCATGTTTCTGTTTAAACAAAAACTCACAATTCTGAATTCTTGGCACTTGAATTCATCCCTCCAACCATTTCTCGCTTCTTCTTCTTGTGAAGATTGGACCTGCTAAAAGTGATTGACGTCCAGGAAAACACAAAACTGAATTAATGTACATGTGAGTGTTTAGAACTTGCAGTAATTGATTGCTAATTGGCACCGGCACTTTTATGTGGTTATGTGTGCCTCATAACATCTCACGACCCCCCCCCAAAAAAAAACAGTTTGAATCAGTCGTGCTTCAAGCAAACGAGGCCGGGATGTGTGTTGGATGAAAGCACCCACCAAATGTCATGTTATGCCAGCACGATTCCCACTATTCACGAGTCATTACCCCTTTAAATGAATCACTGCCTGGGGGACTGAACACGAAAAAATTGCAGCATTTTTTCTCAGTTTTTCATCAGCTTTTTCCCTCCTGTTCAAATAAACGAGTGAAATCCCTTCTTCTTTCTCCTACTGCCTCTCTCACACACTCAGGAGTACACCATGTCGGCTGTAAGTAACACACACACAAACACACACGGTTCTTGCGTCAACTCCGTATCCCTCACCTCTCGTCCCCTGAGCCGGCCTCTGACCTTTGACCTCTACCACCGTGACCTTTGACCCTCTCTCCTCTTGTCTGTTTACAAACAACGACAATAATACGTTTCATAAGATTTACATTATATTACAGTGGTTAATGTATTTTCTCTCTTCATGCTGTCTGTGTTTGTGTGTGTGTGTGGGTGGGTGTCCATGTTTGTTGGTATATATGTGTGTATGTGTGTTCCTAGAAGTCAGGGCTTCTCTTGCCTTCAATGCTGCTGTAACTCTCCTCCCACTCCTCTGTAACTGCTCTCCTGTGTTATGTCTGTGAATTTAGATGTCTCTCCTTCTCTCCTCTACTTCACTTGCTTCTTCTTTACTGTACTTTCCAGCCTGTCTGATCTCCTCCTCCTTATTATTGCCCCCCTCCTCTCTTCATTCCAAGTGATACAATCCCGTCTTTCTCCTGCTTTTACGCCCTTATCTTTCCTGCTCTCTTCCTTGAATTCTTCCTTTTCTTTGCCTTACCTCCTCCCAAACTCTACTTTTTATGCTCTCCTTTCCTCTTATTCCCTCCTCCTCACCCCCCCTCCTACTCCTCTCCTATTTATCTCTTCTCTTTCTCATCCTCTCCTCTCCTCTACCTCTGCTACTCATTGCCTTTTTCTCTCCTCTCCTCTGTCTTCTCCTCTCTGCTCCTTTCCTTTCCTCCCATCTCCTTCTCATCTTCATCCTCTCCTTACCCTCTCCTCTACCCCTCCTATTTTGTTTGCATACTCCCTCTCCTCCCCCTCCTCGTCTCCTAGTCCTCTCCTCCTCCTCCTCCTCCTCCTCCTCCTACTCCTCTTCTCCCTCTGTCCTTCCCACCCCTGTGTTCCAGCGGAGGAGCAGTCAGTCAGCAGGTTGTTCCTTTGTGCTTGATCTAACCATGTGGCTGCCAGGTTCCTATAGTGGAACATGGTTCTGTCAAGCACCATGGAACGGCCCTGCAAAACCCTACAGCACGGCCAAGACGCAACCTCTGTGTGTGTGTGTGTGTGTGTGAGAGTACAGTACGATAGATGACTGCCTGTGTGTATGTGTAAGAATTGTTCTGCTAAGATCTAATTTTCGATGCTGTTTTGTTTGTGCTGTGGTTTCTAACACTAACAGTTGCTTTGTAGTATGACAGGACTGAAAAACTCCAATATGTTTGTTCTTGTGTGGATGCGTGTGCGCCCGTATACATGTGTTGGTCTCGAAAGTTTGTGTGTCTTGCAAGCTTTGAAGCTCTTTGTAGGCCGTGATGCACATGCAGCATTTTGAAATTATGCAGTGGGGAACGTTGCATACGATACAAACCAGCAATGTTTTTTCGAACATGTTTGGTTCATTATGACAATTCCCACTCCAAACAAAAGCAGCACAACCCCTCTGCACAATTTCAAAATTCTTCCATTGCATCACGACCTTCACTTTGGCCACGGGCTCTGTTTTTGTTGGAGCCGGTACCAGTAAACGCTGGGGTTCGACTCTTGCACGATGAGGCCATTCGTTGACGCCCTGCTTGTGATTGTGACCAGGTACCGAGGATTACCGCAGTAAGCTAGGAGGGGACTGCTTCGCCGACTTGGCCTGCCCCGAGAAGTGCCGATGCGAGGGCACCACAGTTGACTGCTCCAACCAGAAACTGACCAAAATACCAGATCACATCCCCCAGTACACCGCAGAACTGTGAGTCACGCTGTATTTGTTTACTGCAAAGTTTATCCTCTTGTGTGGAATAGAGGAAACCTCACTCTGGCCTTGATCTCATCCTCCTCCTCCTCTTGCATGGTCTCTCTGTTGTTCTCTCTCTTTGTCTCTGACCACCTCTTCTCTGTTCCTAGGCGTCTGAACAACAATGAATTCACTGTGCTCGAGGCGACGGGGATCTTCAAAAAGTTGCCTCAGCTAAGGAAGATGTGAGTCAGACATGTTGTAAACATAATAGGAACAAAGTGTCACGTGTGAAGAAGTCACAATGAAGTCACACAGAGAAAACTACGATTGTACTCAGAAATGAACCATGTGTATTTCTCTCTGCTATATATACCCTACCTCCTTCTACTCGTCACTCTATCTATCTACCTCGTGTCCTCTACATGTTTCTCCATCTCTTGCTCTCTCTTGTCCTTACTTCCTTCTTACCTTTCTTCCTCCCCTCTTCCCCTCCTTGCAGTAACCTGAGTAATAACCGTATCACTGACATTGAGGAGGGAACATTTGAAGGAGCCTCAGGGGTCAATGAGTTGATTCTGACCTCCAACAGACTGGAAAACATACACCACCGCATGCTGAAGGGACTCGGTGGCCTCCGCACACTGTGGGTACACACACACACACACACACACACACACACACAGTTACTTAAATGCAAATGTATATGCAATCACATTATCATATGAAGTAGGGATTAAGAGTAATTATCAGGGCAGATTAATTTATATTATCATAATTTATCCCAATAATTAAATTATAGCCGATATCAGTCCATAATAAGTCCATATAAGAATAATTTATTTTGAATTCTTATGCAAAATGATTGATAGGCTTTCTGGTCTTTATAAACCAAAGGATATTTGTGAAGTTTTTTTATGTAAAAAAAGAATGCTATGGAATACAAAATCATCGAATCTTTTGTCAATACAGAACAGCCTTTCTACAGGTTATGAATTTATTATTATAATTATAAATATTTTAAAATACAAAAATGTGATTTTATTGGTTATGTTATTGGTCTTAGCCATGTGAAATAAGTAATTGTTAGTTACCGTACCGGCTGAAACAGTATGCATACATACTGCAACAATGTCCACACACACATTAAAACATGTGAGCATGCATAATTCACAGGTTTATATTACAAGAAATATGTCTGTTTTTATTGTTTTATTGTTATGTAAAAAAAACTCTTTACACTCTCTGTCTGTCTGTGTGTGTGTGTGTGTGTGTGAGCAGCATGCTGAGGAGTAACCGAATCAGCTGCGTCAGCAACAGCAGCTTCGTGGGGTTGAGCTCAGTGCGTCTCCTGTCTCTCTACGACAACCAGATCACCTCCATGAACCCCGGAGCCTTCGACACACTGCACTCCCTGTCCACACTGTGAGGACACACACACTCGGACACACACGTAAATGCTAATGCAAATATAGACACACACACAAAAACTCTTCTCTTTGTTCTCCAGCAACCTTCTGGCCAATCCCTTCAACTGTAACTGTCACCTGGCTTGGCTCGGTGATTGGCTGAGAAGGAAACGCATCGTCACTGGTAACCCTCGCTGCCAGAGTCCTTATTTCCTGAAGGAGATCCCCATCCAGGATGTAGCTGTCCAGGACTTTGCCTGTGAAGATGGTGAGAGAGAGCAAATTTACACTTTACACCTGATGCTCTGCATCATCTGCAGCTGTGACAAACTTTTATTTTTCAACACCCCTTTCCTATCATCCTTCCTCCTCTCTCCACCGCTCCATCCATCTATCATCTCCATCAGGTAATGATGAGAACAGCTGCTCTCCAGTGCTTAGGTGTCCAGCAGAGTGTTCGTGTCTGGACACTGTGGTCCGCTGCAGCAACAAGGGCCTCACCACGCTTCCCAAAGGCCTTCCCAAAGAGACCACTGAACTGTGAGTTAGAGATCAACACATCATTTAACTGCTTCAATGGTTTTATATGGCTGCTTAATTTTGTCTTTGTCATCTCATTTACTCTGAGAAATTTGAAATAGGTTATATCACCAAATTTGGAGATACATGGACAGCAATGATTGTCTTTTGTTCACTCATTTAACAGATTTAACAAATGTAAAAATCCAACTCTGAAAGATACACATCAAGACGAGTCCCCCCAATGTTTTGGGGTTTTTTTTCTCTGGCGAAGTTAGTGCAGCATGCTCTCCAGAGGCAGAAGTTCAAATCACAAAAATCTTTTGCACATCTTTACTATATTTACAGTGATCAAAAAAGTTTCACAAGTTGGCAGAGCTGAATATTTTTGTCCTTGAAATTTCTGCGCATACTGGATTAAAATTGAATCAGCATTTATTAGTCAGCCTGGTGAAGACAGCTTGTCCACCTGCTGTCCTGTCAGTACCTTGGGACGGTTCAGAGGACAGTGAAGTCATAACGGAGGTCAGAGTTGGTGTGGATGGCACCAGTATACAGGTGCAAGGCCATTATAGCATCAAAGCTGTCAGCCTCAGAAAACTTGGTATATTTAAATAAATCTTTTAACTTACTGAAGCTGTATTTGGTCAGAAAATGTGGAAAAAAACATATCAGCACACAGGTTTATAGAGACACAGGTACATATATTGAAGGCTCACAGAGGATTATATTCCAGAAACTCATCTCAACACACACACAAAATCCCTGATGATCAGAAAATGATAGCCCTAAATTAAACATCAGACAGCAGGCTTGGTAGTATTTTCTATCATTTCACTATTTCTCCTGTGGGGAACGTGCTGTTTCCAATATTAACAAAGACTTAATTAATACACTGGATTAATAGCACATTGTCACACAGTGAAGGATAGAGCATGTGTGTGTGTGTGTGTGAGAGAGAGGGGGGGGGGGTTATACTGTATTAGGTTTCCTGTGGGGATATTAAACTCCACTGTTTATTATGGCTGTAGCAGTAATGACTGCTCACACTGCTGGAGATTAGGAATTTCCCACATGGTTAAATAACTTCATTTTCTCTCATCTCATTTTCTCTCTGTTTTTCCCAATCCTCCTTACATCTTCCATTATTTGTCTTTTTTACCTCTTTCTTTTGTTTCCAAAACCTCCTCTGTCTGTCTGTCTTTCTGTCTGTCTGTTTTTCAGGTATCTGGATGGTAACCACTTTACTCAGGTTCCTGCGGAGCTCTCCGATTACAAACACTTAACACTCATGTAAGTCTCACCCACATGACTTCAGCAGACAGACGTTACACTCAGACATTAATTCATAAATCATAAAGCCAGAGTTTTTCACAGTCAACACACTTTTAATCCAGATCGTGACTTGGCCTGTGTTCCCTGCTTTTAAAGACCAAAACTAACCGACTGGTATTCTAGCAGAGCTCTGTTTTGTATCACTCTTGATGTGACCTCTTTTGGTTCTGACGTGGTTGTGACAACACGAACGCAGTAGAGTACAGACGAGTATGTACTGTATATAGTCTGTGCGTGCGTGTGTGTGTGTGTGTGCATAGTGCATGTGTTGCCAGTGCTGCCTGTGTGTGTTTTATGTATCTGTTATTGTTTCCTTTTCAGTGATTTGAGTAACAACCAGATCAGCACGTTGTCCAACCACAGCCTCAGTAACATGTCCGAGCTGCTTACCCTGTGAGTCTGGCTTTACATCAGTCCCTTTGCAATGTGTGTGGGTGTTTGTGTGTGTGTGTGTGTGTAAATGTGTGTGTTAGTGAATGAGAAGATGAATGAAATTAAATAAGGAGTTCCTTTTGTTGCAGTCACACATGAATACTGTCCCATGTGGGCCACCATACAGTAGGTGATTCATGAAAACCTATGTATGACCTTTCTTTCTCAGTGAACTGTTCATAAAAAGAGCAGAGCAACTGCAGCCTGAGGCAGTTTAAAACTGTAACCTCATACAAACCAATGCTAAAAAAACAAAACAACAACTGATAATAAATAGAATAAAGAATAAAAAAAATTAAGTTATGTGTTGAAGTTGGACTGGTTTGGGACATTGGTCCCAGTTACAGACTTAAATGTCTAAACATAAAGTAAAATTGTGCCAGAAAAGGATCAAAATGCACAAAAAAATCTGATAAACTGGGGGAAAATCCCCTCTTTGGGTGCAAGATGTTTGTTTTGTAAGGCGTATATGACTTTGTATGTTTGTGTTTATGACTGGAAGAATTTGTTGTGTTTGTGTTTGCTTGATTGCTTTGCTCAGAGGAATGTAGATATAAACAGGATTGTGTTCTGAATTGCCTTGCTGCATTTGAAGATATCTTGAAAATGAAAAAAAATCTGCATTTGTCTCCATGCCAACATGTTTATTCTGTGTGCAAAGAATCCTGAGCTACAACCGGCTGCGGTGCATCCCAGTGAGGGCATTCGATGGGCTCAAGTCTCTCCGTTTGCTGTGAGTATCCATCCCAACACATGCAAGGTGGTGGATAACGTTGCACAGACTTGAGTCACACTGAATCTAAAGAAGCGATCCAGACTTTTAACATCCAGACTCTTTTCTACATTTCTGTGGCCCTTTTTTCTCTTTCTTCTTCGTTCTCTCTGCCTTTCTTAGGTCTCTCCATGGTAACGACATATCACTGATACCAGAGGGAGCCTTCAAAGACCTGTCATCTCTCTCCCACCTGTGAGTAATATAAACACACACACACATCACTGTTCATGTCTTTCTCTGGTATTGAAGTGTCCGCCTTTTTACCTTATAGATTTGCAAAATAAGGAAAACATATTATCATGACAAAGGAGCCTTTTTCACATATTCCCAAAAGGAAAATGTCTGTTAGGTGAGGCTTGTCCATGAATGTATCGGCTGCTGAAAGTAACTGAGCAACAAACCCATCTTCCTCCTTTCTCCTGTTTCCCTCTGTTAAGAGTTCACACGTGTATCCTACATTGGCCTGTTCTGTCTATAGTATTGGCAATAGATCCATATATCTACTATTCAAATTAAAGGATCGTATATGTAGCAGGATTCTATAGTACCTTCCTCCTCTGAGCAATAATCCACTCTTTTTTAGCAGCAAATCTGGATTTGTATTTACTCTCTTTGCTAAACAATGGGGACTCCAGTACTGAGATGCAGAACAGTGCAGAAATTCAGCATGTCTTGACGCCTTTAATCAATAGTCAGACAAGCAGCAAATAACACAGGAGACTACTGTCAAAAATAATAAACTGAGGTAACTAAGAACTGAATAATTTACTTCATAGACTAAAGAAGCATAACTAAGCGCTCTGTAGGGAAAGCACAGAGGTTATACTGGTTGCACACAAGTGATGGATGGAAGTGAAAGATCACGCTAATAACTTAAGTTAGCTGCTGGTGGGAATGCCAGTGAGGGAGTGCCCGTGCCAAGGTGCTCTCTAGGATCAGCACCACGGAGAGCGCTTGTGACGGGCTGCTGCTTTTCCCAGTTAAATCCCACTGCAGACCACTAGTCTAATATTATCTCTATTACAAGCCTGCAAATGACTCTAACTTCTTTTTTTACCGCAACATCAGTCCAGTCAGATCTGTTATTTGAAGGAACATGTATAACTTGGTTAAAACACAACACCAAAAACTAAGCAGATAAGGCAGAGGTTTGGGTGGTGGAGGGAGCTGTAGCAGTAAAAGGTATTGACATGAAAATATCAGCAGAGTAATAGTGACAAGGCAGTTCTGTACAGCTGCATGAATATGATTGGTTACTAGTCAGACGGAAGCCAAGTAGCTGATGAATGAGCCATTGTGGAGCACGTATAAGGCAGATGATGCCAATAAGCTAATGCAAGCACGACCTCCGTGCTCTGACTGAATTAATGCATTGAACCATTAGTTACCTTAAAAAAACTCACATTAGACTTTAGAAGAACATAAGCAAAAGAATTTGAAAGTAAAATGTTTTACTCACTTTACTCACACTTTTTGATGAAAAGTAATACAATTTATGGGAATTTTAAGTTTGAGAAATAGTACTGTCAACACTGCTGCCAGCATGAGGTAGACTCATCTCACTTAATCTGACAGTGATGTAGAAGTCAGTCTGTAAGTATTTAGACAGTGACACATTGTTTTGGCTCTGTATTCCAGCACATTTCATCTGAAACAAAGGCTCTGAGGTTAAAGTGCTGACTTTTCCTGTGTGCCCTGTTATCATAACTGAACACTCTCCTCTCTCTCTCTGTGGCTGGCAGGGCTCTGGGTGCCAACCCTCTGTACTGTGACTGCCACATGCAGTGGCTGTCAGACTGGGTGAAGAGCGGCTACAAGGAGCCTGGCATTGCCCGCTGTGCTGGGCCCGGAGACATGACCGACAAACTACTGCTTACTACGCCTTCCAAGAAGTTTACCTGCACAGGTAAACATACCCTGTCACACAAATGCAATACTTTACCACAGGAATACATGCACATGCCAGCACATGGACAGTAGACATATACAAACACACATGTTGAATAAATTAGGGCATGATATGGTAAAAAGAAATTATATAGCGATTATTTTGAGAGATTTTACGATGGCAGTATGATTCATGCTTAGTGGAAATGATCATTTCTGCATTACAATTTTCATTTTCACTGAAATTTGATTTGTTGTACCACAGAAAAATGTTTTTTTACATCTGGAGAAACAGATTTGTAGGCAAGGGCATCTCTGCAACACTACAGTACTTCATTATAAAGCTGTTTTGTCACACATTTTACCTTATCAGAGAATACCTTCTGCAATTCTGCAATTCATTTATTGCACTTGGTCATATTGTGATTTGATAATATTTCAATTAATTGTGCAGCACTAAAATAAATACGATTTATTAGGTGTCCAAAAACAAAAGCATGCACACACACGCACACACAGTCACACACACTTTCCGTCAAATAACACACATTTGATGAGGACTCCTAGAGGAGACCACAAGTTGCCATTTACAGATTGTCGCTGTCCAATGAAAGCCATGTATGTCCAAAAACAGCCTTCTTTTAACATTTATTTTTCGATAATTCAGTAAGTTTTTTACAGCTTAAGCAATAAGAAAATAATTTGCCACCACAAAAAGCATTTAGTTTATCTGAAAACCTAAAAATAATCAAAAAAGAGATACGTGGTTTTCACAGGACAGCAACAAAATGTTAATATTTAAATAATAATTTGAAAATCCACAAACATGATTCAACGTGAACATGATTGTGGCTGTAACTCATCATACTGCAAAATGCTGCTGACTGTTGACCATAAACCTTATTATATCACATTAACTATGAATACATGACTGAAACCTATTTTTAACCTAATCTAACTGACGCACTATAGAAGTCCCGGGGCCTTGTGGTTTTCTGGTGCCAGGTAAAGTAGCCAATCATATCCCAGTACTTCTTCCTCAGTCTCTCCTTCCCCGGCTCCTCGAGACAACCCCAACCCGGTTTTCCTCGTCTTTTGAGCCCTGATCAGACTGAACCACTCTTCTTCCCTTTCAGCCCTCATGTTTCGACCAGCATTGTTTGTCCCGACTGTTAGAAACTTATGTTTTTGTCATTTCATTTTGAAAGATGTCCTCTGTACATGTCATGGCCCTGCAAACTAAATCTCATTTATAAGCCAGTAACATACCTGCAACTCTTGCTCATGACATCCATACAACTTTTAATAATCATCTCATATACAAGTTTTCAAGTGCTTACCTTATATTATAGTACAGATAATGTTGCTCTTTTCCCTTTTCCTTGCTGATATTGACAATTTATTATTCAAATTAGCATTTTCTCACAAACTGACAATATTTCAAAAAACACAAGAAAATGCAATTTTTATGCAGGACCCTGATCATGTACAGCTGTCTGTCTGTCAACCTATATATTCTAACTCCTCTTCCTCCCCTACGTGTAGAGAATTATATGAAGATTATTTTTTGTATTTGTGTGTGTCTTTGCGTCACACAGGTCCAGTAGACATGAGTATCCAGGCTAAGTGTGAGCCCTGCCTGTCCAACCCCTGCAAGAACGATGGCACCTGCTCCAATGACCCGGTGCACTATTACCGCTGCACCTGCCCCTATGGATTTAAGGTACACACACACACACACACACACACACACATACACAAACACACAGAGAGACTTCCTATTCCTTTTCACATGTCATGGGGATAAGACAGTCACATATAAGCAAATAGATGCAATACTTGGCAATCATAAGGAGCTGTTGTTCTTTGAAAGCACTAAATGTATGTGTGTTTGTGTCTGCATGTAGGGGCAGAACTGTGAGGAGCCCATTCATGCCTGTATCAGTAACCCGTGCCACAATGGCGGCACTTGCCACCTGAAGGAAGGAGAAGGGAGCAACTTTTGGTGAGAGACTATTAAAAAATATTTTTAGCTTTTACAATCTAGTCAGTGTTGGATCCTGGATATATGAGTTCATTTGTCTTCTGTCGCTCTGGAGGGAGGTTTCTAATGTCTGGAAAAAATAACCCTGATTATGTCATTAAGGTTATCTCAGACTGTGCTTGAGACTCCAAATTTACAAGAGAATGACTGAATTACAAACTGGGGCGTGAAGTTTAAAAGACATGAAAATTTGTGCAGGATTTTACTGAATATGTTATTAAGTTGTTTTATGGGAATCATAGGATCTAAGCTTTCAAAGCTTGATTTATATTAGGAACCAAAACTCTTGCTGCTTTGGTTTTGTTGTTTCTTTTATTTACATTTGTCTCTTGTGAGTCTCCCCACCATAATGGAAGTGTGATGCTACACACTGGTCGCTTTAAAAGAAACCACTTCTGTGGAAGTGACAGCAAAAGTAAAAGCACCTCAAATGTCTGTTTTGTCCGTTGCATTTCAAAACTCCTGTATGTGCACAAGTTCTATACGATAAGGATATTTTTAAGTAGATCTGCAAGATTGAAAGAAATATAATTAATGCTCACCTTTGTTCCAGGTCATAAAATAACTGAAAGATTCCTTTGTGTTCACCTCAAACTAAACATATCTCAGGACACGCGTACAGAGCCTGTTTCAAAACATAGAGATGTGGTGAACACCAGATGTCAGTTACTAGATACCAGTAAAAACCAGAGAACCAGTGGTTATTGAAAGCACATTAGTGGACAGAGCATATGATCTGTGGACCCTCAGGAGATAACTCCATCAATGATGTTGCTGCACCACTAATGACAGGTGGGATTGAGCGCAGGAGGTAAAGGGCTCGGGGGACCAGTTGTGTCTTCAGTTTGTCTCTAAGCTGGACAGCCCTGCTGTGAGAATCGCCTTCTCTTCATTAGGCTGTTTAGTATTAACAGGAGGGGAGCTAACGCCTGCCTGCACGCTCCGAGCAGACTTTAACCTCCCACACAGACAATTAGACCTGCCGTCCTGCTCAGCTCCTCCTGTTTATCTCCCTCAGTCTCTTCCCTTGTGCTCTCTGTCTCTTCTGCTAGTTTTTCATATCAGTCTTCCTCTCTGTGTCTGTATTTCCATCTTTGCATGCTTTCTTTTCCTTCTCCGGCATAGGGGAGTGGAATATTCATTGTGAAGAGCTGTCGTTGACTATATAATGAGATATTAATCCACCTGAGTGTGTGCCGCATAAGAGCTCTTTATTAGACCCATAATATACCACTCTGTGTGTGTGTATGTGTGTGTGTGTGTGGTGTGTGTGTGTGTACGCAGTAATAAACCTGAGTAGTAGTTACAGGGTTGAGGCACGCTCACGTTAACAGAATAATGACTCTCTACTGGGGATATGTAGATCGAGCTGACACTGCTGTTATGAGCTGCACGCATGGATAGTGTGTGTGTGTCTGTGTGTGTGTGTGTGTGTGTGTGTGTGTGTGTGTGTGCGGTAGTGTTTGTCATTCAGAGATCTAAGAGAATTCTGAGACGACGTTCTGTATGTGGCCCTACATGTGTTTATCCTTTGATACCTGCTCATGGGTGTGTGTATCTGTCTGTGTGATATCTCAGGTGTGTGTGTCCAGAGGGCTTTGAAGGCGACGGATGTGAGATCAACATTGATGACTGTGAAGATAACGACTGTGAGAACAACTCCACCTGCGTTGATGGAATCAACAACTACACATGCATGTGCTCACCAGAGTACACAGGTAACATTGTATTCCCAGTTCAGATTTTGAACCTTTAACCATGTTGTCAATATTACCTAAGACAGAAACACAGGCCTCTCCAGGATAATGTAACCAGCCTATAGGTTTATGGTGGCTTTAAAAAACTTCCCATGAGCCTCAGCCACTGTTGCTATAGGTAAGAAGTCAGTCAGGGGTCAATCAAAGCAACAGCGAATTCAAAAAGCTTCATCTATATGAGAACAAAAGATGGTACCATAGTCGCCGAATTCATCCAAAATTAAACCAGAAATGAAAATTGAATTGATTTAAGCTGCAGATTGTGTGTTTCACCTCAATCAGCAGATTTCTCTCTCTCTGTAAACGGCAAACGCAAAATAATTTTAAGCTTGAAGATTGAATGCACTTTTAAGAGTCGTAGTTAACATCCACATTATGGTTTTTAGGTTTCACTTTTTATCAAAGAACCAGATATTTTCTGACAGTCGTTCATCTTTTGTACCGTTGAGTTTAAACCCGATCCAACTGTGAGCCATGTAACATCATCTATGGAAAAAATAAATGGGACCTATTAAGCTACAGACAAATCATATTTAGTTCTAACTAACACTGGTCTGTTGCTACTTGTGTGTCTGCTTTTGCACTGTGCTAATCATCTCTGACTGCTAACCTTTGTGGCGGTGTTCTCTCTCTGTGTCTTTATATGTCTCGCTGTGTCTTTTTTTTCCTGTCTCGCTCTGCTTTCTATCATCTGTCATCTGTTTTTTTGTGGTTGCAGCTGCTACCAATGAGGTGGAGAGAGGTTAGTCTGTTCTTCTCTCTGTCCCTCCTGTCCCTCTCTCCTTCCTTCCCTTCCTTCCCTCATTTCCTGCGCTTTCTCCATGCTCCCAAGAAATCGGATATTCAGCACAACAGATTTAACATATTGTATGCAGTCATGCTCCATGTTAGCAGTGCATGTCCTTGATGTTCAAACAGACCACTGAGTATGTGATTCGTCCTGTCAGATATCTGGGGTTATTGTGCTTGCTGCTTTATGCATATATGTTGTTGCCATACTTAAGTCAAATTAAACTGTGTCAAAACGTTCCAGGTAAACATTTTGACAATAAAAGACAAGGTCAGTAATATTCTGTATTTTTGTTATTGTCAAATATTCCCATGAGAAGACCTAAAACCTAACACTCGTCCCTTAAAATTTACCATATTCCACTACCTGCGTAGTGCGGCGCTCAACCAGTTATAAAAAACCTGTTGACAAATAGACGCTTTCATTTCTAAAAAGGCTTCGTAATGTCCTTAAACAGCTGGGCACTGTAGTTTTTATCCTACTTTTCTCACACAAGCAACTGCTTTTTGTGGGGAATATTTTTTGCCACAGATGTAGTGCGTTAGCTAGTATCTCTGGCAGGAGGACAGTAGGTGGGATCAACTCCAAATAAACTGCAGTGCTTAGGTTCATTTTGTTTGTTTGTTTGGTTTGGTTTGTTTTTTATGGCACAAAGAAATAAGCTACATCAGGCTTTGGCTACAAAGACTATACTTGTTTCTAGGTTTAATTCATTGTTGCTTTTTGGTCTTTCATGGGATTTATTAACAATTAGAAAAATGTAGAATATCAATCTTATTATGTTTTAATAAATTACATTTTTATGTCCCACAACAAGGAATAAACGTTGAGATGATGTGTAGTCTGCTGAACCCTAAATATCTAACTTACAGTCTAACACTTCCATAACTGTTCTGAAAGCTAACTTTTTTGTGACCAGCTTTGCTTAGCTTGTCTCTTCATTTGCATAAAGTTTAACATGTCAAACAAACAAAGCAGTCACAGTCTTTTAGATACAACTTACCAGTTATCTTAATGGCAGCTGGTACCTCTTTATTAAAGCCATTTACACATGCAATCAACATCTCTAAAACTAACAGTGTGTGAAAGAGAAGACCCCCACTGTTCAGTTATAAAGTATGTAAGGAGTTCCATTTCCAAATAAGAGTCCATTAAGCTAATATGAATGCTTCTACATAAGTGAAGTAGCCCAGTTACCATGTAATTATTCCCCCAGTGGAGTTTGTGCTGTCAGGAGTATTGGTTTATTCCCCGATGCCTCATCAATGACTCGTTTGGAGTTCAGACTTTCAGGAACGTCGGGATATACACAGGAATATCATCAGGAATATGACATTGGCAGAGATGAGATCATTTATCAGACCACTGTGTTGGTCCTGGCCACAAGAGAGTCATCAATCATCAGCCCATACAACACAGACACACACTGCAGTGCTGCAGTATTGAGATGCTCAATCATACTAAGATGCACACTGTGAGTTAGAGTTGGAAAATATCTAGGTGTTTTATGTTATAATTGCACTTTATTTATTTATTATTTTTGTCAGTGGTATGCAAAGTATTGAAAATGTGTTGAGATGATTTGCGTGTGTGTGCTTGTGTGTCTCTAGGGGAGCTATGTGAAGAGAAACTGGATTTCTGTGCTCCAGAGCTGAACCCGTGTCAGCACGATTCAAAGTGCATTTTGACCCCTCAGGGATACAAGTGAGTAGAATAAACACACACACATGCACACACCACACACACACACACACTATGCGACATGAAGCTACATGATTCTGGTTCTTGTCCACACGTTTTGGATGACCAACATTCTCACCGCTGAAAATAGATTCGGGTTTTCCCTGCACGGTGTTCGTGCTGATGTTGTTATTGGTGATTGACGCAATTGTGCGTGTTCTGTTGTTTTGCAAAGAGTGTGACGCGTGGCAGCGCAGATGTATCTGGGTCCCTCCTAACATCTTCCAATTTACTAGAACCCTTGCCTCTTAGTTTACCTTGCGAGTGCACGGAGCCAGCAGGGCATAGCGTCCTGGTGTTTGCTGTATTTGTCTGTGTGCGTGTTGTGTGTTGCTAGTGTCTGACCTAGCTTCAACCATGTGATACGATTAAGTAACACGTTAAGACCATATGATGTATGGAAGCCAGTCTCTCACTTCACGACATCGTCCCTTGTGAAAGTATAACATTCGTTGGCCTCGCCATATGAACATGTGGATGATTCCAATCCACCTCGAATCGTACTCCCTAAGAAAGACACAGCTTTTTCTTTCCTTCCTCTTTGTTTTATGCTTCTTGTTCAATCTTTTCTAAAATTTGAATCTCCTATCACCTCATCGCGAGACAGTTTGTAGATTTCCAGGTCTCAGTAGGAACTATTGATACTCAGGGTAGTCAAACACGGTCAACCAAAGTATGTGAGAGATGGGCTAACTACATGGTTCGCAGTTCTGCCTTTACACAAATGTTTCGATATACAGTAAAAGATACGTTTGAATATTCGCCAGATCTTATTGTTGAGATAAAATATTCGTACATATTCATATTAATTTACCTCCCTCATTCTAACCCCTGTCAAGCAGACGCTGCAACATCTCATCTGTGTCCAACGAATTTCAGAAGATATATAAAGATGTCTCCATCAACTTATTCAGAAAATATATGTACTCACTTTGATAGTAAACTACACGTTGCACAAGCCGAAAGCTTCATCATGCTAGAATCTGTATGTCACACACCCAACAGACGGTGGACAGGACAGTTTCATTGACTGTCAGCAAGCTTATACTCTTAAGGGGTCAGAAAGGATTAACCATATACATAAAGCAGAGATTTCTGCCTTTTTATTCAGTAAGTTCATTCCCTCTTATGGGCCGGCCTTCTGCCTTGCTATCTTTAATCTAATAACAGATATATTATTCAAAGCTCTCTCTACTATTATTGGTTGACATACAGCACTTGGTGCTTAATTCCTGTTTCAGGAACATAAACGAAAAACTTTCCCTGGACTTTTCTCCAGGTGGAGCAAGAAACTTTCTCGAGATTAGTTACTTCTGCTTTTCTAATGAAGAAATGAGTTTATAAATGATTGTGTGCTGAGGGTTAGCAAGAACCCTAGAGACAAAGTGACTAGTAGACACCGAAATATTCATTTTGTAAAAAAGGCGGTTGTTTTCCTGCTACATTACCGTAAATCCAATCAAAATCGAGTCTTCCTCCTCCTTTCTTGGCTTTTAAGAAGAGACTGGCTTTCAGTAAGACCGTCTGCTAAGAAACCATTTATCCTCAAATCTCTTCGCTGAATCAAACCTTTGCTGCATTCCTCAGTGAAGGAACAATTAGAGATCAGATTGAGAGACAGGGAC